ATATTTCAATTCTTTTAATATCTATTTTGTTATAAAAACTATTCTTAAATTGCAGGGAATTAAAGGGAAAAAGAGGGAAATTTTCTATAAGGGATTCCCTTATTGTGTAAGAGGGATTCCCTTCCCTTCCCTCTTCACTCATTTTCCATTCTTTTTCCCTCTTTTTCCCTTAAGGGAAGAGGGAATCCCTGCAGGGAAGAGGGAAAAGGGAAATTTAGTTGCAAGTCTAATGTAAACCCTGTTAACAGTTGTGCCATATATTGGCATAAATTGCAAATTAAATACAATTAATCAAAAACTTTTTATTTCGTTGTGTTTTTCAATTTTTTTTGAAATTGATTTTTCAATTCAATTTGTATTTCAATTTTAGCGATAAATTATTATTTATAAATACTGTTATAAATTGAATAAAATATATAAATAACTAAACATTTCAAATATTTTTACGGCAATAAGTTTTGTATTGTTTTTTGCCACGAATTGCAATAGTTTTCAGTTTAAGACTTTTGGTCAACAGATCCTCGAAATCACTTTCTCTGAGACCAATAGCTTTAATGTATGTAAAGACCAGTATTTAAAGTGATTTTGATTTACTTTTTATTTTTAACAAAAAACTTAAATCAATAGAAAATATTTCATTGAGTTTTGCATTAAAGTCAAGTAATTAGCAAATATTAAATATTTTTTAATTATAGATTATTATTAATTACATTTGAATTAATTATGAAAATTGTTGCCAAAAGTAAACAAAACTATTTAAACATTCAAACATTTACAGTGAATTCAATGTTCTTTAGTTTAGGACTTCTCGACAACAGATCATTGAAATCATTATACGAAAGACCAGAGCTTTCATTCACAGCAGATATTATAAGTGTGTTCAGCGCCGGTAGTCTTGAGATGTGTGACAAACACTGGCCGTTAAAATCATGGCATTTAATGTTTAGATATTTAAGTGGCGGCCAGTGTTTAGTGTCATTGCCTAACAATTTGCAGTCCATTTGCCAGCACTCGAGCGTTAAGTGCGTTAAACTTTGTGCGGGAATCAAGAGATCAAACACTTTCAACGGATCCAATGCCCCGACACTGGCTTTTATGATCTTAGAGCCCAATAGGAGTGACAATCGTTGCAATTATTTGCAATTCACGACAATTGAACGCAAAGCAAATCACTGCTATTTTAATACAAATACAAGAATAAAACAAATTGTTATTAATACAAAAAATTTAATCAAAATTACATTCATTTTTTATTTATAATTAGATATTTATAGATTACAATTATTAATTAAATTCAAATAATTATAAAAATACTGTCAAAAAAGTATAATATTAAATAAAAATATAAATATTAAACAAATTAAACGTTTAATTATTTGAAGTTTAAGCCAATTGTACGCAAAGACTTGTGGCCATCGGTTAGCTATAAATTGAGTTTCAATTGCCATAATTGTGTTAATCAAATGAAATTGTATTTTTAAATCACAACACATTTAAAGTACTTTTACTTTGAATAAAACTTTGAGATATTATTTACAATGATTTTAATGTTCTTGAGTTTAGGACTTCTCGACAATAGATTCTCGAAATCATTATCTTTGAGATCAATGTCTTGATTGCATTGAATGACAAGCATTTGCAGCGCCGGTAGTCTTGAGAGGTGTGACAAACACTGGATGTCTATCGCATTATTGGCGTCGACAATGTGTAGGTAATGAAGTCGTGGCCACTGTTTGTCGCAAATGGACAACAAATTGGTGTCCATTTTAGTTAGACGTATAAACAAATGTGTTAACCGACGGCAGACTGTCAACTGATCCAATGTCTTGAGATCGGATTCTTTGGTCTCATTTGTGTATAACCCGAGTGACAATCGTTTCAATTGTTTGCAGTTTAAGCCAATTGTATGCAAAGCGGCGGCCAATGAGTTGTCGTAATTGAATAATCCGAGTCTCAATCGCCGTAATTGTGGTAATCGTGACAATTGTGCGCACATTTCGGTCAAACCATTGTCACCGAAATGAGTGATTTCAACACATTTAATAGACTCATTCCCGGACACGAATCGGGACAACAGTTGGCTATCATTGGAGTAATTAAACTGTATTTTCAGCAAATTATGAATCAATAACTGTTCGCTATTGTTGTCGAATAACATGAGTAAACCTCTTGCGTTCAAATGAGACAATCGGTGGCAATCAATGAGTGATTTACTGTTTGTGAACGAGTTCTTGACTCGTGTGATGAGTGGAGCCAACTCTCGGACCCATCGACCGCTGTTTGACACCAAATCGCAGTATATTTCCCGCAGTTTCGGGAATTTGTCACGAAATACGGGAAACACTTCCAGAATGTATTCATCGCTGTTTATAACGCCTCGAAAGTCAATGCTCTCAATGTTTGGACACTTTTTGGCCATTATTTGCATTATTGTAAAGATAGGAGTCTTTGAATAGTTGTTTCGTTTAATGGGTTCGGCAGTGATATTGAAGTGAACAACACTCGTGAAGACTGTCCTCCGGAACTGTTTGGACACACATTCGCAACGGAATCGGTCGCCGAGTGAGAGATAAGATAACAGAAGTTGACACAAATCATCACCGAAACGATCCAAAGAGTCTTTTGCGTAGATCTGTGGCTAAAATGTGAGATAAAAACAATGAAAACTCAATAAACAGTCAATTGTTAGTGAAATACCTGTTGTCTGTCCTCTCCTTCGCCGTCATCTGTGGTCTCGAGTGATGCCATCATTTGTGTCATATCTTGGGATCAAATGAAGTGATTGTATGAATGAATTGTATTTTTGTTATAAAATGTAAACAAAAGCAAAATTACATAATATTTGCGCCGAAAAGGCATTCAAAACGTATCGAAGTTTTAGTGCTTTTTATAATAACATTATTTATGCTATAATTTAAGGTTTAATACAATATATTATATTCATATATAAAAGACCTAATAATGTAAACTCTTTACACCTATTGTGAACAGTTGTGCCATATATTGGCATAAATTGCAAATAAAATACCAATTAATCAAAAACTTTTTATTTCGTTATATTTTTAATAAATTTAATTTTAGCGATAAATTATTGTTTATAAATACTGTTATAAATTGAATTAAATTTATAAATAACTAAACATTTAAAGTATTTTTACGGAAATAGTTTTTGTATGGTTTTTTTACACGAATTGAAATAACTTTTAATTTAAGACTTTTGGTCAACAGATCCTCGAAATCACTATCTCTGAGACCAATAGCTTTAATGTACGTAAAGATCAGTATTTGCAGCGCCGGTAGTCTTGAGATGTTATCCAAACACTTGTCAGTGATTTCATTGGATCTGATGTACAGGAAGTGAAGTCGTGGCCAATGTTTGCCGCAATTGTCCAGAAAATTGTCACTCATTTGCGTTGAATATAGCGTTAAATGCGTTAATCGGTGGCAAAGTTTCAACGGTTCCCAGAATTGGTGCTCGACTTCCGCACCGATCGTTAAATCCAAACGTTTTAATCTCTGATAAACTCTCAACGAATCCAATGTCTGGCCATTGAGTGGTGTGTTGTTTGACATCAACTGAAGTGTCAATCGTTTCATTTGTTTGCAGTTTAGGCCAATTGTACGCAAAAACTCGTTCAAAGAGTTTTGATTATTTAGTGTTGAAAATAGCGTTAATTCCCGTAATTCCGGTAATCGTGACAATTGTTGGGACAGTTCGGGGAAATTCCCGGGAATTACACTATTCTTATCAATTATTTTAATATTCTTTAGGGACTGATTCTGTGCCACAAATGGTGACAACACTTCCTTATCTTCATTACCACTGAAAGTGAACTCAAATTTTTGCAGATTTTTGGCCAACGATTGTCCGGAAGTGGTGTCGAAGATGTCGTACAACGAGTAGATCCGCAAATGAGACAATCGGTGGCAATGGATAAGTGATTGTCTCTCCGGAAGGGATACGGACTTAATTCTTGTGACCAGAGGTCCAAACGTTGGGAACAATTGAGTAGTATTTTCCTCTAAACTGCAGTAAATTTGCCGCAAATGTTGGCAATTGTCTCGAAATATGGCCAACACTTCGGGAATGTGTTTACTATACTTTAAAATGATTGCTTGAAAGTCAATGGTCTGAATGTTTGGGCATTTTTTGGCAATTGTTGTCAACATTTGAATATTAAATGAAAATCCAGTTGTCTTTTGCCACATAAGTTTGTCGTCAATCTTGATGTTCACAACACTCTCGAAGACTGTCCTCTGGAACTGTTTGGACACGCATTCAAATCGGAGGCGATCTTTGAGTGAGAGATGAGATAACAAAATACCAAACAAGTCATCACCGAATCGATCCAAAGAGTCTTCGGGATATATCTGTGGTTAAAATATAAGACAAAACAAATAAAACTCAATAAACAGCGAAATGATTGTCAAATACCTGTTGTATGTCATCGTCTTCGTAGTCATCTGTGGCCACAAGTGATGCCATCGTTTGTGTCATCTGTTGTGTCATATCTTGGGATCAGATAAAAATGATTGTATGAATGAATTGATTAATTAATACAAATTAAAAGTATTTTTGTAATGAAATGCAGAGAAATGTCACAAAATGTTGTTATTATAGACAGTATTACACGTCATATATAAAGGCAGTCATGAATCACAACATATGATGCAATTGTTATGCAATACTCAATACATACATAGTATACATGTTTATCACTATTTAATACTATTTATATTCATAACTCTCTATAACTATACTATATATCAATTGATTACATAATAGGACTAATTTTACGTAACTATTTAACACTGTTTTACTTGTGTTATATGAAGTGCAATACTTTTTATACTTTGTATAAATAAAATGGTAAAAGTATTATGAAACTTTTATTTGAGATAACAAATCTATTATTTTATAAAGATATGACGTGTAAAACTTACATGACTTATAATAATAGGGTAGAAATAATAATGAAATATTTGCAATATTTACAAAATCTCAAGCCTTTCAAAACTTGAAGGGTTAGTTAACAATTGTATAACAATTATTGTACCTAGCTCACACTCATTTATTCACAATTGGCATTCATTATGCAATTATTAACTATCGCTACAAAGTTTGTGATAGTTTTGGATTTTGTGATTTCACTATTAAATTATTATAAATATATTTATTAATAAAATTATTTGTAAAATTAGTTCATTTGATCCCAAGATATCTCCCAACACAACTGAAGTCATCACTTATGGCCGCAGATAGTTATGAAGACCAGGTATTTGACAAAAAATTAACTGTTTATTGAGTTTTAAATTATGAAAAGTTTTATATTTTAGATAAAATTCTATGCGAAGAACTCTTTGGATCGTTTCGGTGATGATTTGTGTGCACTTCTCTTGTCTTATCTCTCACTCGAAGATCGGTTTCGATTGGAATGTGTGTCCAAACAGTTCCAGAGGACAGTCTTCGCGAGTGTTGTCGACATCGATATGAACGACACATTTATTGATAAAATTATTGGAGAAATAAGTGACAAAAAATGTATGAAATATTGGTTCGCAATGAATGTCATAAAGACTGAAAGCATTCCTCGAGTTCTGCAGACACTTCTCGACAAGTGTATGAATTTAAGAGATATTTATTGCAATTTGTGGTCAAATAGTGATCAATGGATCCAATCATTTGCACCACTCATCACAAGAGTCAACATATTCTCGTCGACAGAGAAATTGTCACTCATTTATTCCCACCGATTGTCTCAATTAAGTGTATGGTCTTTGAGTGATGTCTTTGACACCACTTCCAGACAACTATTGGCACAGAATTTACAGAAATTTGAGTTTCGCTATAAATCCAGTGATAATAAGGGACTGTTGTCTGCATTTGTGGCACACAATCAGTCCCTCAAAAGTGTTTGCATTAATTGTAACCCTTATGTGAATTTCAACGAAATGTCTCAACAATTGTCACGATTAACACAATTACGGGAATTAACACTCAGTTTAAGGCTAATGTATGGCCAGAACTCATTGTCTGAGTCGTTGCTTATGATTGGCTTAAACTGCAAACAATTGCAACGATTGTCACTTCAGTTGATGTCAAACAACACACCACTCAATGGCGAGACATTGGATTCGTTGAGATGTTATCACAGATTAAAACGTTTGGATTTAACACTGATTATGCCTAAGAATGAGGAAGTGTTGGAACCGTTGAAACTTTGCCACCAATTAACACATTTAACGCTTGATTTTATGGATTATAATAATTACTTTTTAATCAATAAGTTTATGGATAATTGCGGCAAACATTGGCCACGAGTTCAATACCTATTTATTAATATTAATGCAATCACTGGCGAGTGTTTGTCACACATCTCAAGACTACCGGTGCTGCAAATGCTTGACATTCAATGCAATCTAACCACTGATCTCTCGGACAATGATTTGAATGCTGTGTTGTCTTCGAGTCCTAAACTCAAGACAATTGAAATCCGAGTAAACAATGAGAAGAAGTTTTATTCAAAGGAAAAATGTTTTCTTGTTTAATAAATAATATTTAGTTTTTATTATAAATTTAAAACTTTTAATTAATAATTAGTAAAACTGATATTCATTATGATTGTTTTACAAATACTTATTTTTAACTTAATTACATTAACTTAATATTATTATTTGTTTTTGTGTATTAATCACATGTTTATAAATATTTAGACAATTGTAACCTAATTATTATTTATTACTACAAAATGTAAAATCACTGCTATTTTGATACAAATACAAGAATAAAACAAATTGTTATTTACAATAATACAAAAATATGAAATTTAAATTACATTCATTTTTCATTTATAATTAGATATAATGTTATGAAAGAAATATTAAAACAAACAATCATTTAAATACAATTAAATTTAAAAAAAACAGAAAGAAATTGCATTTAATTAAACTTAATTTATACTTGTTTTACGGCAATAAGTTTCCAGATTTTGTTTACAACAAGTTTAATGTTTTTAATTGTCGGTGAATTGTGTTAATAAAGTGAAATTGAATTGAAATTATAAATCACAAAACATTTAAAGTATTTTTATTTTGAATAAAACTTTGAGATCTTATTTACAGTGATTTTAATGTTCTTTAGTTTAGGACTTCTGGACAACAGATCATTGAAATCATTGTCCGAGAGATCAATGTCTTTATGGCAGTGAATGACAATCATTTGCAGCGCCGGTAGTCTTGAGATGTGTGACAAACACTGGATGTCTATCGCATTAATGACGTCGATGTGTAAGAAGTGAAGTCGTGGCCACTGTTTGTTGCAATTGGACCACAAATTGGTGTCCATTTTAGTTAAACGTATAGACAAATGTGTTAACCGACGGCAGACTGTCAACTGATCCAATGTCTTCAGATCGGATTCTTTAATTTCAAAATACGACTCGAGTGCCAATCGTTGCAATTGTTTGCAATTCACGCCAATTGTACGCAAAGCGGCGGCCAATGAGTTGTCGTATTGAACTAAACTGAGCTTCAGTTCCCGTAGATGTGGTAATCGTGACAATTGTCCGCACATTTCGGCGAAATGATCGTTAGATAAACTTCTGATTATAACACTCTTCAGGGACTGATTCCCGGCCACGAATCGGGACATGTGTTCGCTTTGAACGCTATAAATAAGACAACATTCGTGCAAATTGTTTGCCAATAGTTGTCCAGAAGTGGTGTCGAAGACATCTATTACTGAGTAGACTCGCAAATGAGACAATCGGTGGCAATGAATGAGTGATCGTTCCTTTAACTGCAAGATATTGTCCACTCGTGTGATGAGTGGCGCCAACTGTCGGACCCATCGGTCGCTCATTTCACGCAAATTGCAGTAAATTTCCCGCAATTTCGGGAATTTGTGTTGAATTGTGGGAAACAACTCAATAATATATCGATCATTGTCTCCGACTTCTCGAAAGTCAATGAATTGAATGTTTGGACACTTTTTGGCCATTATTTTCATTATTGTAAATATAGGTGTCTTTGAATTGTCTTCGCGTTTAATGAGTTCATCGTTGATATCAATGTCCACAACACTCACGAAGACTGTCCTCTGGAACTGTTTGGACACACATTGAAACACAAATCTATCCTTAAGTGAGAGATAAGATAACAACAGTTGACACAAATCATCACCGAATCGATCCAAAGAGTCCTTCGCATAGATCGCAGCCTAAAAATGATTGACAAAAACAATGAAAACTCAATAAACAGTTAATTGTTTGTCAAATACGTGTTGAATGTTGTCTTCGTAGTCATCTGTGGTCTCGAGTGATGTCTTCAAGTGTTTTATCTGTTGTGCCATATCTTGGGATCAAATGAAGTGATTGTTTGAATGAATTGTGTTTTTGTTATGAATTGTAAACAAATGCAAAATTACATAACATTTGCGCTGAAAAGGCGTTCAAAAGATATCGAAGTTTTAATACCATTAATAATAACACAATTTCTATGAATACTATATAATATTGATATCGATTGGGACTAAAACTACGTCTATATAGCCATACATAACACACCACTCAATACAGGCATACATTACGTTAAGTATAACTTTTTGTCACAACTTTTTGCCCTCACTTTCAATGAGTGTTTAATTGTATTTAAATTTTAAATACTTAACAATCAATTAATACATGTTTTGATCACAATTTTCAAAATGTAATTCTTGTCCACAAAATATTTTATTTCACATAAAATTTTAAATATTTTTATTTTACATTAAAATACAATTTAATTTACTTTTGAGGCACTGATTGTGTGCCACAAATGCTGACAACAGTTCCCTTATTATCACTCGAATAGTAATTAATTTTATATTTATGTAAATTCTTTGCCGAATGTAATTATATTATTAATTAAATAATCAATATTTTAATTATATTCAATAAATCATTGAATATTAATTCGCACATTGAATACAATATAATATTTGTTTTAACAAATTAAAACATTTTAGTGGAACTGATATTAGATAAAACTTAAAAGTATAAAACGAGTTACAACTAAAAAGTACTAAATATAAGGTTAATATTTGAATTGAATTAATATTTATAAAACTATTTCGAAAATTATAAACATTTATAAATTTTAATCATTTATGCGGTGAAAGCATTTGGCAAACAATTCAATGCACTTTAGGGTAATTTACGTTAATTGTATTAAACATTTAACACATTTTACTTTGAATAAAACTTTGAGCCATTCTTTGCACGGATTTCAATGTCTTTTAGTTTAGGACTTTTGTGCAACTGATCCGAGAAATCATTATCGTTCAGACCATCGCTTATCATGTCTTCAATGACAAGCGTTTGCAGCGCCGGTAGTCTTGAGATGTGTGACAAACACTCGGTGTCTATAATGCTATTGAAGTCATAAACGAATAGGTATTGAAGTCGCGGACAATTTATGTGCAATTCTTTCAACACATTTGCTGTCATTTCTATAATATAGAGCTCTAAATGCGTTAATCTCTTGCAGTGTCTCAACGGATCCAACAACTGGTCATCGATCGCCTCATCTATCTCTAAATCCAATCGTTTTAATCGTGAATAAACTCT